ATCCCATAAAAAAACCTAGCCTGTAAACAACAGGACTATTACTAATTCAGTTCACACTCTAATGATATACATGGCCATATGTGTAAATAATGCAAGTGCTATAACAAAACAAGCACATTAATTCTAATTTCTAACTATAGTCTATACAGTGCATCTTAATCATAAAAGCAATCTTTAAATCACAATCAGCTTTCTGGTTAGTGTAACAAGAAATATCCCCATCTAAAACCAGTGTGTGTAAGTTGTCCTCCAGTTATAGTAGAGAGATTTTGTCCCAGTGCTACTGACAGGGAACATTTGTTTGATTGTTGTGTTACAAATCTGCATGCTCTTGATGTGTCAGGCCAATCTTCACTACTAAAGACAGCACGACTGAGAACGGAGAGACTGTTATATATTTGTTACAGCACGGAGGATGGTGACATGTTTAAAATCTGACTACACAGTTTGTACACAGTGCGTATTGATGATTTAATTTGTAGTTTCTATAAATCAGGTGTAGCTCTCTTTTTTAAACTGGTTCAGCTAGGCAGACATCACACAATACAAAGAGACAATGATAATGATTCAGTATGAGTGATGTTCAAAATCTTTAAACTTTCCCTGTTTGGAAACTAAAAACAAATTAATGCACCTCATGTAAATGTATTTATGATGTAATGATAAATGCAGGGATGTCCTTGGGTTACTGACAGTTAAAAAAACAACAACAGCCCCCCTAAAAAATGTTTTCTTCTGCTTTTCTTATTTATTTGTTTTTCCTGAATTTAATGCCACTGCACACTAGAAATATTAACCAGCTAATTTCACTGTATTAGTTTGATTTTAAAAAGTTGGCTTCAGCTGAAGTTTTTTCTATATGAAAATACACTTTGTTGAACTCTTTATAGACACAAGATATTTAGAAACATCCCAAAGTTGTAAAAGAAAACATTTCTTGTCTGATATTTGCTGACACAGCGTGTAGTTGCTCCTGTTGATAATTACAGTGTTTTGTATATGTTTGTTGGATACCCTTACAGATGTCAGTCTTTTAGATTTTATTTTGACATTCACTTGTGAGGGATGTTGCAGCTTTTCCAGAATCATTTTTATTTTACATAACAGGATCTACATGACCATATTGACATTTTTTTACCAACACCATACAATTGTTAAAAAACATAAAACAAAACAAACCCTATGTTGATTTTATTTTATGTGTCATTTGGATTAGTGTTGTGGCTTTGCCATAACTTAATCTGTTCTACAGGAGATTTTTTCACTTACATGTATCCAGTGATGGAAATAACGGCGTTACAAGTAACGGCCTTACTTTTTTCAGTAACGAGAAATCTAACTAATTACTACTGTGTTCAGCTTACCGCATCTTATATCAGTTACACGGAAGTAGCTGTAAGTAATCTGGACGCTACAGCTTTAAGCAGCTGCGCGCGCTCCCGCGGACGGTAATCACGATCACTGTCTAGCACAACACCCGGATCTCAAAGGGGCAAAACAATCGCATAAGTGCTGCTGTTTGACTGCGGAAGAATAAAGTAGTCGTGGTAAGCCGATCACATGACCACTTAAACACAAAGCAACAAGGTGATATATACCAGTTTTTAAATTGTGTTGATAGGCCACGTAAAACCAGAGTCATGATAAACAATATATAAGCGGCGTTTTTTCCTCAATAGTTTCCTCACGTTTGCTGTCTAAGGACAGAGCAGCAAGCGCTCTCTGCTTATGGCCCCCCACAAAAAAACAGGGGAAGTTTTAGGAGTGACGTAGTAGAAAAAGAGAGAGAGCGAGTTTTGAGATGTTAGAGATTTGTGATGTTTAGCGTGTTTGGAGTGTGTAGTTAATGTGTTGTCTTGTGTAGTTAGTGTGTAGTGTAGTGGATAGTTTTGTGTTGTGTGTCAGAACAATGAGGCGACTGTTGTCTCCAGGTAGAAACAGGAGTGATACACCTGCTGCTGTCAGACCTGCAGGTATCAGGCTGTGATGTTCTCCTTTATAGTGGACAGAAATTATGTTTTTTGGAGTGGCACAAATAATTTGTGTGGCATCTTATTGAATGCAGGACAGCTGATAGTTCTGTAAGTAGTTTGAAATGGTTATTTACAAAATCAAGGTAAAAGGTAAATGGATGTAAATAACTTTGTTGTTTGCAAAACTTGTGCATATGATTTTAAAATTGACCATTTATATTTGCATTTAAAGTTATGAAATATGATTCAATAAACATGTTTGTGGTTGTTACAGTAAAAAATATAACTTTTTCTACTCTGATTTTATGTTTTTTGTCTGATTTTAGATCAATTGTGTTAATACAGTATGTCAAAATGAAAACATAACTGTAAATTCAGACACGTGAGGTTGTGCTGAAAAGGATGATACCAAACAAGGCAAAGTAAATCGTTTTTAAAGGTAAAATGTGGAGGGAAAATTAAAAGTAGTTAAAAATGGACCCCAGAGGGTTAAATTTTTTTTTTTAAAGTAACGCAATAGTTAAAGTAATTAATTACTTTTAGAATATTGTAACTCAGTTACTAACTCAGTTACTTTTTTGAAGAAGTAACTAGTAACTATAATTAATTACTTTTTAGTAACTTTTTAGTAACAGAAGTAACTTGCCCAACACTGCATGTATCAACGAGTCAGACATTAAATGCACATTCTGGTGATTTAAAGGGAATATTTGAGTATTTTGATTATTAATGATTGGCATTCGTTAAACAGAGTTAAATTCAAGAAACATTATTGTTAAAATGAATTTGTTATACAAAATTAATAGAAAATACATCAGATATCATTTAATATTGTTTAATGTTCAAGAACAAATCAGCCTCTAAAACTTTTGGCTTCTCTTTCAATAAAATCTGAAAGGAAAAGGCAACATGAGAGTATTGTAATGTGTGATGAATCAGAGTGACTGCTGCCCCTTGCCTCGTGCCACAGAGGTATGCATGGCACTGCAGAGGATGAAGTAAGAATTCATCTTCAAGCACTCAATAGTGAGCTTCAGACGCACAAAGCACAACTCACTCTGAGGACAGATGATGTTTTGTCGTGATCCACCCTCTGATCAGAGGTGGAACAGGTGTCAACCCTTTGAACCTGAAGGAGGGTGGTGATTTTGCATTTCTGAGAAGCTTGATGTCATGGTTAAGGCATTGTTCATCATTGTTACTGTGGCTTCAAACACCATCAGCAGATCTCAGACTTCCTTGTCTGCTGTGCAGATTGTGGGCCTGATGCTGAGGTTGGTCAGATCCTCTCTCTCTACATAGGTTTCAGAACCAGGACACTGTTGTGACAAACATTAAAGCTCAACATTTCAAATACACTAATGTCAAGAGTCAGAGAAGAAGCCTGATACCATCCTTATATCAGTGCAGTAAAACCACTGGAGTCAGGTTAGTGTGCCATGAATAATTACTGACGCTGCTTTGGACTTCTATGTAGCACAAACACCTTTGCAGTTTATTTTTATAATGTCCATGCTCAATGAACAATTTACTCCACTTTCCAAATCAAAAAAATGAATTGTGCTAAACATGTGTAAAATGTAAATAAAAAGCAATGCACCACTTTAAAAAATATTAAATAGGGCAAAGAAATTGAAATATATGGGCAAAGTTTGGATTTAATGCAAAAAAACCAAAATAGTGGAAACTTGTAATGCTTATAAGCCTAATTAGGTTTCTTAGTAATAGGGTGGCTCTGAGAAACAAACCAACATTTCTGAAAACATAAAAACAAAAACAGGAAATATAAGAAATGTAACTTTAAGGGGAAATAGGTAAATGTCCTTTGTTACAATATTATTCATATCAGCTTCTCCATTCTTTCGTTACACGGGTGGATATTGAAAGGGGTAATCAATCAGCAATTGATCTTACATTGGTTTAAAATCTCTGGCTGGTATTAGCAGCTGCAGAGTATACCAAGATAACACAGTAGGTAGTGACCACTATCCATTTTTTATCAGCATAGGAGCAGACACAGAGAAAACACAGATAAAAACAGAGGGTAAGTGGAAAATTGAAAAGGCAAACTAGGATAAGTTTTGGGTGCGGAGTGAGGGTAGCTTGAAAAAATCTGAATTTCAACAAACCAACAAATGAACTGAACTCAGACATGAGTAAAAGTGTAGTGGATGCAGCCAAAGAATCTATCCTGTAAAGTACTGGGAACAAAAAAGAAAATGTTAACACCATGGTGCACACAAGAATGTACATTAGCAATTAAACCACAGAACAAGTTTAAAAATGAAACAAACAGAGGTTAGAAGGATCACAAAGAAAGGTAAGAGTTATTGTTGGAGAAAATGCTGCGAATCACTGGGTAAAAATACACCACTGGACAGGGTTTGATGTACAAAAAATGTCTGGCAATTCAAAAGATTGTTATTTTGCTACAATGATAGATAATGAAAATATTATAATAGACAAGTAAATCTGAATTATTAGAAAAACACTGACGTAAGTAAAGAACCTTAACAATAAAGAAACAAGAGAATGAGAAACAACATTACAGAGAAATATCCAAATAATTCAGGATGAAGACGACAGTGAGGACGTAATTAATATCAAGTTTTCTTTGTCAGAATGGAACAAGGCATTAAAGAAATCTAGAAAAACAACTCCGGCTCAGGATCAAATCTGTTATTGTATGCTGAACAATCTGAGTGATGCAATCAAGGAAATATTGATAGAGTTATATAACAATGGGAGGAAGGAAAACTACCTAATAAATGAGAAAGATTGGTCAGGATTCTTCATAAGAACAAGAATAATTTAAAGAGAAGTGAATTATTTCAAAGAAACTCGGGGGATATAGTTTTTGTTGACATTTTTAAATTTGTGAATTAAATTGGAATTTTAAAAAGAATATAATGGTGGTACTGTAGTTTCTGATCCATACGCCAATCTAGAAGGTGGCGGTAATGCACCTAAGAGTTGCTTTACAACCATAAAAACAGTAGCAGAAGAAGAAGATCGTTTTCCGTTAAGCTGTCAGCTCAGCGTCGGAAAGGAGCGCTGCGAAAATGCTTGTTGTAGTGAAAACGTTAACTGGAACGTCAATAAATATCGAAGGGGAGCCATCTGATACAATTGAGAATTTAAAAGCTAAAATCCAGGACAAAGAGGGAATTCCTCCAGGTAGGTGTGGAATCACCGTCCTCCATGATCACGACTAAAACGAGCACTACAGATTACTACATTACAGTTAACGCTAGACAGATTGTCGCCTGCCCAGAACTACAGGTGTTACTTAATTTGTTTATTTCCAGAATTGCCTGCACTCACACTGTCTACTCATAAAGTCATTTTGTAGCTTCAATAGGTTTTATGGTGCGTTTGCTTGCACTTTGTAAACTAAGAAATCTTTATCCTAGTAGTCAGGAAAGTTGTTAAAAGGACATTTTCTGATTTTCCTTTGTTAAAATAAATTCATCAGTTGCTTATTTCTTCTTCTCTACAAGCTGCATTTCTCTGTAGGGACATTTATATATTTCTACGAATTATAGAACCGTAGCCGAGTATAACCATACATAGAAGAGCTCCTCCTCCACACTGAAAGGAGCCAGTTGGGGTGATTCAGACTTCTGACCACGATGCCTCCTGAGCGCCTCATATTTGAGGTGATTCGGTCATGTCTAGCTGAGAGGGGATACTGGAGAGATTCTGTCTATTGGCTGAAACAACAGAAGGTGGTGGCTGGGAGAGGGAGGTCTGGGCATCTTCCTGAACCTGGCTAAGATTTAAGCAATCTAATTTTACCCAAAGAAGTTTTCTCCTGGCAGACGATTGGCTGAAAGACATATGTTTACAGCAATTTAGCAAGAGCTGATATTTTCTCATCTGTTCAAGTCGGGGCATTAAATGGTTGTTTTTCTTTTTTGTTTCTTTTATTTAAATAATTAAAATAATTCTAAATGATAAATGATGCTTGAATTTTTTCAGTTGTTATGCAGAAATGCTCGGTCTTGCTTGAAAGTCTGTGTATTCTTTACTTTTATTGTCTGTGTGTGTTTCAGATCAACAGCGGATTATTTTTGAACAAAATCAGCTGGAGGACAATTGGACTCTCAGGGATTATGGAATTCAACACAGTTTCACCCTATGGTTAGTTTTAAGGCTTAGAGGGGGAGAACAACGTGAACAAGATGTTGAAGAAAATGTTGATGAAAGTATTGAAATTCATGACTATTCTGAGGAAGACAGTGAGGAAGATGCGGAAGACAGTGAGGAAGATGATGGCACAGGAAGTAAGAACCCCAAAACCAAAGTATGGAAAACCTAGTTTTCTTGTAAATCCTTTCAAAAACACTCAGATCAACATGTCAGTGGCCCAAGCGCCCAGTGACTTCTGAGCAAACTGGGAAGTCCCCCCCCTCCCCCCAGTCATATCAGAGAGATTCTCTGCAAGATCCACTGAAGCTTGCTCAGCTGTGATGGGAGGAAAGCTTTCAAAGCCAGAGAGCTGAGAGAATGTTTTCTACTCACCCCACGGAACTGAAAATGATGATGCATTAATGCCCCATTTCAACAGATTTGGTCTTTGCGATTTATTACGATCAGTAGTTTTTATAAATCAGCTGTTGCTCTGCCACAACTGGTTCAGCCAGGCAGATGACACACATATGAAGAGCCAGATGGACACTACTTCAATTAATGACATCATGTTCAGTCAGTAAATGATTCAGCAAAATGGAAATGTCCTTGGGTTACTGACTTGAATTTTGAATTTGTTATTACTTTGTGTTATGTGAACTTTTCAGAGATAAGAATTACTACTATAAGCTTTATTTTTGGATAAACAGTCTGTTCTCAAGGAGATAATAATCAGCAGATTTTGGATGGATACCAAAAAATCTGTTACATTTGAAGAATTGTTTGAGGATGAGCTCAACAAACTGAAGTGAATATTACCAGCACATTTCATTGTCTTTGTTCTATTTAAAGCAGCATGTTTGTTATATTGTATGGACCTAGCAGGCCCGCCTCCTGAGGTTGCCCTTGGGTGGGTTTGTTCTCCTGTCTCTCCTGCCTTTGATGCCACCTTATTTTTTTCTTTTTTTTGTAAAGCTGACTCCCATCAGCAATTAGAAGTATTTAAGGCCAGAGAAAGGTGAGCTCAAGAGCCAGAGAGCCATGTTAGTGATTGCAGCTAGTGAGCTGTGTTTTGTGATTGTTCAGAGGAGAGAAGTGTGTCGCACGGGGCGATCCACGGTAGCTTGTTAA